TGTGTGTGTGTATATATATATATATGTGTGTGTGTGTGTGTATGTATATATATATATGTGTGTGTGTGTGTGTGTATATATATATATATGTGTGTGTGTGTGTGTGTGTGTGTATATATACACACTATGCAGATTGGATGCAAGTACAAGAATAGTCGGTACACCTGATCAAAATTTAGTCAATCCTTGTATTTGCTTTCATGCTGGACATGTTTTCCCAACACTATCACTACCCTATCCTAGGGATTTAAAATAGCTTTTGGCCATATAAAAATACTCAGGACCTGCTATAAACTATGTTAAGCATGGAGGTTGGGCACTTAGTGTTAAGATGTGAGACTGATTTTTCAACAGGTGAAATGGCACCTTGTGTCTTTGAAGCCCCACCAGCATCTGTAGAGCTTGAAAGCTCGAGGGAAGGGCAGCTACAAATGGAACTGAAGAATCAAAATACTCATCAGGGCCAAGAAGTCAGGGAGAAGAAAGACCACAAGGCTTCAGTTGGAAACGAAGAAGACCATGTAGGGTCCCAGCAACCAGAGAGCCAGACCATACTGAAGCTGTCTTTTGGTGAGGATCAGAATGTGTCAGGTGATGAGCAGAGTTTGCTAGAACCCACTTGCCCAGAGGAGTTGAATGTGAAGGAAACCAGTGAGGTTTCTGAAGTAACTGAACAGAGCGATTCAGAAAGGTTTGAAAAGATTGATTCTTCATATGGTGAAGAGGAGATTGAGCCTTCAACAGATGAGGAGATGAGGTTGTGGAGATATCCTCAATCCAAGGTGTACACACAGGGAGACTCTACAGCTGAAGAACAAAAGAAATGTGTGTGTGCTGAAGAAGAGGAAATGATTACTTGTTCCTCTGAATTGCATGAAGATGAGAAACCCAGACCAGAAAAGGGCAAATATGAGTTGGAATGCTGTATAGATGATGCTGTGAAAGGCCAGTCTACTTTAAGGAGAGACCAAGGGAACATAGAGTCCTGCAAAGGATATCATGAGGGAGAAACTACAGGAGACATTAATGCATTTGCAATAAGACGAGAGCAGAAAAACACAGAAGGATGTACTTATAAGGGTGATATATGCCAAGAGTCAACAGAGATCCAGGCAGTGACTATAAAAGAAGACATGGATCTAGAATCAGACAGAACAGGCCCGACTACAGTGAAACAAATGGGGGTATCTCCTTTTGCAAATGTAGGGTACACAGATCTTCAAGGAAACATAAAAAATGTAGCACAGGCTTATGCCAAACCAGTAGACACTGATACACAAGATGCAGCTCTGAGTTTGACAGGGGTGCAGATGTCAGAATGCCATTTGGAGCGAGAGAAAGAAGCAGTAGATGAAAGACAAGGTATTACAGATGGGCAAACGGAGGACCCTTACAAGGCAGAGGGAAGAGAAGGCTCAAAGAAAGTCACTTTTATCCTGGAGCCTGAGCTAATCGGTGACGTGTTCCTGGCTGAGACCAATACCTCCATGAAGTCCAGGGCTGAGTCAAGTATGTCAGGTGAGAACGGCACGAAGATGTCGGTATGAGCACCTGGGCTGCCCAAGGACACCTTAAAAGTGGTGGAGTACACTGATGAACTAGTTTGTGGGACAGAAATCACTGACCTTTGGGAAACTGCATACACCAGGTTTACATTTAGTATGTTCCTGTAAACACAGGGTGATCAAAACATACTTCTGTGCTGCACAAATGCAAACATACAGATGTTGTTTAGAGATGGTTAGATGGCTGTTTCTTTTGTGCTTGTCTAATGTGAACAAAGACTTTTGTGTGAGGGTGTGTCTTTGTAAAATATTCCTTTAGGTGCATAGTGAGGATACTAATGTGGGATCTCATGCACAATTGGTATAGCATAGGTACACTTGGTGGAATAAGAGGAATATGGTATACAGCTGAGACATGTACTGTAGGTGTTTGTCTAGAAACTCACCACACATCTACCTAATGTAGTCCTTATTTGCTTCTGAAAGTGATTTGGTAGTGTTTTTTTTTTTCTTCCCTCTTAGATGTCGAACTGAGTCATGATGAGACCAAGACTGCACAAATAATTGATCAGATGTTCGAAGAAGTGCTGGAATATGCTGGAAAGATGGACGAGACGGTTGACAATGAAGACGCTGAGGACCACGATAGCGGTATTGGTGCTTGTTCTGGAGACATGGAGTCAGAGAAGGAGAAAAGTGAGGAAAAGGGAGAGGCCAAAGAAGAGCGTGATGAAAACAGTGGAGATGAGCTACTCACTTTCCCTCTCAGCAGCATCCTGTCTCCTCTCAGCAAGTCTGTAGAGGCTGTGGTCACCCCTCTGGTAATAACAGTATTCATAACTCTGAGCTGTCAGTACAGGAGCTTTGTTAGGGAAGCTTTGTGGATTAAGTATCGGATAAATGTACAAGCTGGAAAAATATATCTGTGTTAATGTCCATATTCCACCAACAGCGTCTAGCAGCAAGCCAGGAATCCAATCCTCCATCTCCGCTCCTCACTCCAGAAGACACCACTCCCACCCCAGCTGAATTTCTTCCTCTGTACAGGTATGATTAAAGGACATAACATGCAAAATTCACTTTTACACCGTGTGTGTAGACACACAAAACATGAGAACAGAGCAGTCCCTGCCTGTTTAGCTTTTTCCACATTTGTAAAAACCCCTGCTGCTCGGATTTGTTTCTTTATGACCTCATACAAAATGACACAGCAGTTAATATCATAGATCCTCCTCCCACTCAGATCTGTTTTAGTGCTACCTGTGTGCCACTGTGATTTTTCTCGCTAGAACGGCAGAGGAACAGTGACATGGCACAGCTCAGAGGAAAGCTCAGTTGTTGGTTACACAGAAGTCTCTACCCACTTTCATCCTCAGAGCCAGCGAACATGCAGTGGATGTCATGTATTTATTGTGGAAATGTTCCTGACGATATCCCTAAAATGTTGCACGTTATGTGTTAATCATTTCACGTGGAAGTGCTTTCTCAATGAGAGCTAGTACAACACTAGTTTCCAGACTGACTCTACCTCACACCCCGTTGCTGAATCAGAATCGGCTTTATTGGCCAGGTGTGTTGGACACATGAGGAATTTGACTCCAGTACATTGGCTCTGTGTGTACATACATATCAACAAGCAAAGGAATGTGCATTAAGAAAAGAGATAAAAAAAAAAAAAAAAAAAAGCTGTACATATATACAGTATATGCGCACACAGTCTGGATTCAACGGTTCTATATGTATGTACATGTATATTTAAGTCAAGTCATTTCTTTCTTTTAATGATTTTGAGACCAATCAATCCATGCTTTTATAACCTCTAGACTTGACCTAGTAATGCATTATGCCTTGGTGTTAATCAGTTGTCTCTCTCTCGTCTTCAAATGGTCCAAAATGCTGCTGCTCGTCTTTTGACAGGTACCAGGAAATTTGACCATATAACCCCGGTACTGGCTTCTCTTCACTGGCTTCCAGCCTGTTTTAGAATTCATTTTAAGCTGTTGATTTATTTATTTTTTTTTTTTTTTAGGTTTTTTTTTTTTTTATGGTTTTGCACACCCCCTCACTGTGGAATGGTTTACCTCTTAATGTTAGATCATTTGCAGACTTGACGACTTTTAAATCATTGGTTAAAACATATTTATTCACATTGGCTTTTAATACATAGTATTGTCTGATGCTTCCTTGTTTTAACTGTTAACTCTGTGTTTATGTTCCTATGTTGTTTTATTCCTCTATTGATATTAATTTTAGTTCTTACCTTGCCCTTGTAAAGTACTTTGGTCAACCAGACGTTGTTTTTAAAGTGCTATATAAATAAACTGATTTGATTTTGATATCTACAGGTATTGCACTGAAGGTTATTGTCCAGTCATACTGTCGTAGGTTAAGTGCTAAAAAGAGTGACTGCTCGGGGGAAGAAACTGTCCCTGTGCCTGGTTGTCTTGGTGCACAGTGACCTGTAACGCTGTCCAGAGGGGAGGAGTTCAAACCGATTGTGTCCGGGGTGTGAGGGGTCTGCAGAAGTGTTGCTGTGTTACTTTTTAGCCCAATTTCCTGTGAGTAGTGGGTTGGATGGTGGTAGCTTTGCTTCTTTATCTAACATTATTGTTAACAGCACTAAACTTTGTGTAAACATGTTACTGGTGTTTCTCTATTAGACAACAGTGCCCAGCTGTGACGGTAGCAGGCTCCTACTTGCACATCTCTGGTTGTTTAGCTTTTGTTCTAGAAACAGTTATTATGGTAAGTGGGTCTTATACTTGTTCAGCGCTTTTCTATGCATTGCAGCACACTCAGTTGGCAGGTGGCTCCTGCTCAGCACTGTGGGAGCTGACCAATCAGAACAGACTGGGCTTCTAGGAAGTGGGGCCAGGAGCTAAGACAGAGGGGAAAAGAGGGTCTGGTGCTACCGGTGCTCCCAGGAAACTAATGAACTTTATGAATGTACAAGGGTGTAAACATTATCTACCAGAACCTTTAAATCACAATGTAAACCTGAACATGAGCATAATTTGTGACCTTTGACCATAGGCCAAAGTAAAACTGTTTATCTTGCATTATAAAGATATTTGTTGACATAAAAGCTACATCACACTCCATTTATGCAATTTTATGAATTTTCTGTTTCAGTATTTACACATTGTTTCTCTGACATTTCTAAAATATATTCTGAAACAGCCTGACAAAATATTATAATGCAATAAAAATAAAGGTGCTAATTTAGTGAAAAACATGAATGAATTTAATAATGTACTCTTGCCCAGTGTAGTTCTCATGTAACCTGCATGTCAGCTCTGCACAAAGCAGCCTTATAACAGGCTGTAGCAGTAATCAGTAATCCTAAATACGAGTACCTATTGTACCGAACCATGTTTTAACTGTGATTTGTTTGTTCTGTGATCGACAGCATCGATGCCTACCGCACACAAAGACAGAGTAAGCTGCCTGCCATACAGAGTGTCACTCCTGCAGCTCAAATGCGAGCTCCAGAGAAGTCCCAAGTTCAGCATTCTGTCGCCACAGAGGACAAAATCATGGTGTGTAGTGCATGTTTTGATTATTGGAGGAAGCCTCATTCTCACAGTAGATCAGTAATTAATCCAGATGAACTCTAACCATGTCATTTTAACTGCAAAACGCCAGCACTACTAAATCCATCATTTGGATTAAACTGTGTTGCAGCTGTGGAGCTAGTTTTTGTTTAAGTTGGATCTTGTATGAATGTTTTTTCTTATAACCCTGCACGGTGTTGTTTGACCAGTCTCTTGATGAAGAAGCAGGGAAGCTGCAGACTGTGATCAGCCAGACCCTGCAGGCTCTGAGCTGCTGCACTGATGAAGAGCATGGACAAGGCTCGCTGGAGGAGGCTGAGGCTGAAAAACTGCTACTGGTCTCCAGTGTGTACACCACAGGAACAGTCTAATATTTATGTGCCGTGGTTCAGAAGATATTTTCAAGCTAATTCTGTTTAGCTAGAAAGTAATGCCTCAGCTGCAATTGCATTATTTTAGTGTTGCATTTCACATTCACTTTCTGAAATAATAACTGTATTAATAACAGAATACACATATCTTTGTATTTTAGGGCTATCCCAAGTGGCTATTTTTTTGGGCCCTGGATATTCAGTGGCAATAATCGTGAATATTTGGGCCCAGCCCTAGTGTATTTAACATTGATATCTGCACATCTTGTTCCCTGTTTTCAAAGTGTAAAACAAGTAATTTTTTTATTTTGTTTTGTCTGTTTTCTTTACTATTGTCATTGTCTTGTTTGGTTCAGGTGAGAAACGGTCCGCCCTGCTGGCGGAAGTGGCCAGACTGAGGGAGGAGAGGAACCTGGAGTCTGGAGAGGTAGCAGGGGAGGACAGGGACTATGTCTCCCAGCAGCCCTGCAGGGGGACTGTCAACATCACAAACATTCAGCTGCCTCTTAAGGTTGAATTTGTCTGCTCTTCACACAGTCGCACAGGTAGCACAAGAAAGTGTTTCAGCCTTTTACGTTTAACTGCCTGCCATAGTTCTCAGTCACATACAGTCTTATGCAAAAGTTTAGGCACCCCTTGATAAATAACAGATTTTGGTGATTTTTTATTTGAACAGATGTTAACACAGTTTCTCTTGGAAATGGAAAAAATGCACAATATTTTCAGGTGTTCTTTTCATGAAATGCTGCTCCTTTTTTTCTCCAAACATGCCTTTGCTGATTGTGTCCAAAGAGTTCTATTTTAACTTCATCAGTCCACAGCACTTGTTTCCAAAACGCATCGGGCTTCTGTAGATGTCCTGTTGCATACTTCAGATGTTGGATTTTATGATGGGGACGCAGATAAGGTTTTCTTCTGCTGACTCTTCCATGAAGGCCTTGTCTGTGCAAGCATCGCTGCACAGTGGAACGGTGCACCACCACTCCTGAGTCTGCTAAATCTTCCTGCAGGTTTTTTGCAGTCAAATGGGGGTTTTGATTTGTCTTTCTGACCAGCATACGAGCAGTTCTGTCCGAGAGTTTTCTTGGTCTTCCAGATCTCATCTTGACCTCCACAGTTCCCCTGATCTGCCATCTCTTATTTACATTTCTTACTGTGGAAACTGCAAGCTGACAACGCTTTGCTATCTTCTTGTAGCCTTCTCCTGCATTGTGGGCATCAATAACTTTCATTTTCAGGGTCTTACACAGCTGCTTAGAGGAACCCATGGTTGCTGGGTGTCCACAAGTGTGTGCACAAGGTTTGAAGAGTCAAGGTATTTGTACAGCTTTGAAATTGGCATTTACCAATGACAGCTGTTGCTGTGCATCAGATCTAACGCGCTGATTAAGGTCTGAAACCTTGTGAGAGACTTTGAGACTCTGGAACTCTTAGGGTGCCCAAACTTTTGCACCATGCCATAATAATGTTTTTATTTTTTATTTTTGTTCAATTTATGGCATAAGAAGTAACTATGCATCACTGTTTGCAGAAAATATTGTGCATTTTTTCCATTTCCAAGAGAAACCGTGTTAACATCTGTTCAAATAAAAAATCACCAAAATCTGTTATTTATCAAGGGGTGCCTAAACTTTTGCATAAGACTGTACAACCTCAAGTCAGAAAAAGCTGGGATGGTATGTAAAATCTAATAGTGATGTGTAAATCCTCTGTATCCTGTATCACATTGAAAACAACACAGCAGCACATTATTTGATGTGATACCTCATCAGTTTTATTCTTTGTTAAAAATAAACACTCACTTCAATCCTGATGCTGCAACACTTTACAATAAAAGTTGGTCTGGCTGCATTTTAGGGCCAGTGATGAGGTAAAACAATGAAATGATGACTCCAGTTGAACCAGGTGATGTCAACAGGTGACTGCATCATGACTTGGTACAACAGTGGCGTCCAGGAAAGTGTTTATTTTGAACAAAGAATAAAATTGATGGGGTGTCACATCAAATGTGCTGCCGTGTTTTCATTGTAGTACAGGACACAGATGATTTGCACAACTATTTTCAGTTTATATTTTACACACGTCCCAACTTGTTCTGATTTGGGGTTGTATAAGGCAGACATGTCACGTGAAAACTTTTGCATTTGTATAATTTTAATAACATTCTATTACAAAATTCAGGGCTTAATGAAGACACACGTACTGACTGATGTCCACTGATTTGTCTGTGTGTACATTTAGGTCGACCAAGTCACTACTTTTTCGTCCTGATCCGCTATGGGCCCCACAACATTGTCACCACCCCACTGGCCACACCTGACGATGCTCAGAATGGAGACACCATCTCCTTCCCTACTTCTGTCACCCTGTAAGCTGCACTTTATCAGCTGGGTTTCACAAATTTAAATTTTATTTTTAAACATCTGATTAATAAATGGTCACATCCAGGCAACTCTGATCAGATATGGATGCTCTCAGCAATGGCAATTGTATTTCTGGACTGGTTTCATGTTGATGCTTTGAAATGTTGCTCACTGTCCCTTGTTACTGTATTAGTCAGATAGTTTCAGTGGAAATCTGTAATGTTCTATAGATGAAATCTTGTTTGTTTTTGTCTCCCTAATATTTCAGGAAGGACATCCGCTCATCCTTTAAGATTGATGTGGAAGTCTACAGCCTGGTGAGGATAAAAACATTGATTTGCAGTTGTTCTTTGTAACATATGAATAGAAATGAAGACTGATTTAGACAATAACAGCGGTTACACAACTGAGATAGCTATGGCATTCAGATGACATTGCCTGTCAGGCCAGCTGCTGTTGTTTACACTCAGCAGATACGAAGATAATAGGAATCAAGGATAAAGGTACACTAGAATGTGAAAAATTTCTAATTGAACATGTAGCAGTTCCAATGATATACAGTGGCAGAAAAAAGAAAGAACTTCATGCAATGACCTGGTTTTCTTCATTAATTGGTAATAAAATGTGATGTGATCTTCATTTAAGTCAGACGGGTACTGTCTATAGATGAACACAATGGGCCTCCTTCTGCAATATGTGTGTAGAAATGTTCTTACCTTGTGCACACAGTAATACTGTTGGGTTCACTGCCATGCCCCCATTTCTCGGTATATGTGTTAGAAGTGTGTCATGAAGAAAGTGATAAAGTTGCAAGAGAAGAGCAGGACGTGACATGACAGGACCTGAGGGGAGGTATCAGGTGAGGGCATCGTGTCCAGTGATGACATTTCAAGGAATCGAATGGCTGCAGTCAAACTTGTCTTTGCAGCTGGGAACGGCTGATAAGCCGTTGGTCACACGCTTCCAATACAGTATGCTGGTCTCTGAAGATGCGCTATGTTCTGCAGGGACAGGCTACATTATCTTCCTTATATCTTGTACATCTACAGTTGAAGTCAAAACCTTTTTTCTAACCACTACACAAACTTGTGTTTTGGCAAGTCGGTTAGGATGAACTTTATGCAAGACAAATAATTTTTCCAAACGTTGCTTATAGATAGATTATATCATAATTCCATTGGGTCATAGGTTTACATACACTCAGTTGACTGTGCCTTGAAACAGCTTGAGAATTTCCAGAAAATGTAATGGCTTTAGAAGCCATGGATGTATTTCGAGTCTAAATGGGCACCACCAACTACCCAGTAACTTTACTCATGCTTCCTTTTTAAGTATCAGTTCTGGTACTATAAAGGCATGGCACCTTTTTAGTACCATTATCAGAAAAAACCTAAACAATACCCTACCCTGCTGGCCATGCATCTGTGGTCAGACGCACCTTTTCAGCACTTGTCAAATGACTGCACAGCTACCATGCATTATCACCGTCCAGTTTGTCCAGTTGTGCTGTGATTGTTTTTCTTGATGGCTGTATTTTCTGCTGTAGTAAAATGATATACTGATCTTGTTAGTGTGTTATTTCAAGGTGTTGGTAAAAGCAAGGGAAAACAGTGGCTCTTTCTTTCTGAAGACAAAACTATAGTCGCATGAATTTCTTAAATTTAACTAATCAAATATTCATAAATTGTTGCCCGTCCCTGGTCAGTTTCATGGTTCAAGTGGCCAGTGCATTAATGCATTTACAGTTAAAGCCTTAAATATCAATAATATAGTTAACTGTTAGCTTTTTTTAAAATGAATGCTGTTTTAATACACTATGCGTTTAGTTAAAAGGTGTTTTGTTTTATTTTTTTAAGGCAGCCAAGCCTTCATAATTTCTAAATACGCGTGCTTTGAGGCAGTTCTAAATTTGTTTGCAGAGGACGAACAAATTTAGGTGAGAAAATATTGATAAAACCCAAATTTCTATGCAAGTTTAAAGCACAGGTCTGTGTGTATAAACCCTTTGTGAATGAGGCCCAGTGTGCTTAGTCAAATGGCTCACTAGCAGGCCTGAGTCTTGATGCTCCCTGCACCCTGCTGTGCATGCTATGTAATGCCATGCAGTGCCCTTCCTACAGTGTATGTAGCGCCCCAGTATTGATGCCTTTAGCTGCTACTCTGGGCTCATTTTTCACCTCACTGAGCAGGAGTTTGTTGTGTGTAACAAACTCATTTATTTGATTGATTTATTTTTAAGTGAAAGTGGCACTCACCCTTCAAATCTTGTTTCATTGATTCATCTAGTCCCACACTCCAAGCAGTAACTGCAGCACAGACCGGGCCACCACCAAGTCACGGGTGCGTGAGTGAAGATTTCACAAATAATGAGTCAGGAGTAGATTTATTAATGTTAGTCTCAATAATTGATGGTGTCTTTTTACATATCCAGGTGACACCAAGAAAGCTTCTGAACACTATCACAGTGAGTATCAGGTTTTTATTTCATAGCCAAGCATTAAAGTACTGTGAAGATGATTTATTTATTTTTTTAATGCCCACCTCACACTATAGTGCAGTAATACCTGAATGTCTACTTTTGTTTTCAGCAGAGATCCAGTAACAGCCTTCCATGTAAGTTGAGTTTAATTAGTCGGTATTTGTTACAGTACAAAGAGGCTCTATTTTATTGCCTCCATCAAGGGAGGGGGTTGTGTTTTTGCCAGTGTTTCTTAACAGCACAACTCAAAGTGATAAATTAATTTAGATGAAATTTTTGGAGAAGTAGGGAACAATTTACTAGATTTTGGTGGTGATTCACATCATAATTTAGATACAGGATTATTTTAAGACTATTCATAAGTGAGTGTTGGAAAGGCTCTTGACTGTACGGGAGCCCCTTTTGTGGCCAATGAGCATTTCTGAACACTCCAAGCAAATGTGGAGAAAAAGCCCAGGGTTAGTGACAGCTGCCCATTCATTGTCAATGCAGTGCAGGTGAAAACAACAGGTCACACACAGCTTCAGTTAGAAGTTAGAAGCTCATGCACGGTTCTAAGGTCTGAAGAGACTCCTATGAAATCATACAGGAGAGAAGCCAGTCAGCTGAGTTGGTGGCAAAACCTTTGTGTTCCATCTTTTACTGCATATAACAACTTGTACTTAAAGTAGAACTGAAGCGACTTTCATTACAGGATGAGTAGTTAAAACACTTCAAAATGTAACTGCATTGTTTTGCATTTTGCGACTTTAAAATCTCATCTCATTCTCATGATCCCAATATCATGCATCGTCTCGTCTTGTGAGCTAAGCGTCATGCCCTTACTAAACACTGGTCAGAACGGTCATATATTTTGTTAACTCTGGCCATTTTGTTTGCTTGGATGTTTCATTCATTGTCTTTCAGCTGGTCCATCTACTCTCAACACTCGTCGCTCCAGTAACTTCTGTCTGGTGGGCTCCCATAAGATCACCCTGGCCTCACTGGGACACAGCAAGTTCCCTCTGGATAAGGTAGATATCTGGGACAGTGCTGGGAAGAGCTGGTCACATTGTTTTTAGTGAAGCAGGGTTGTTGGTCAGTGATTTAAAAGGGCCCTGTCCACATCAACTCAGATGTCAGTTTGGCATGTAAAGGGTAACATCATGAATAAAGTTAGGTGGATGTTTGTGTGGGCAGGCCTGTAAATGCTATGGTGGAAACTGTTAAGTGAATAACATTCAGAGTGTGGATAGCATGGCATATGTAACACCATGTCACCAGGTCGCGCCTCACTTTCTGAATTAATTCACTGACCGACCAGAGAAGAACAGTGCTATGGGCACCATGTAACGTCTTTGGTGTTTGTTTTAAATCATTCTGTTAGGACCTTCTACACGTGGGTGGTCTCACTGGTCATGTAACATCTGTCCCTCCCTGTCTGCTTCCCTTACCCCCCCCTCTGACCTTTTTTCCTACACTCAGATGAAACTTGAAGGCAAAATCAGGAGGCTGCTGGGAGATGAATTTCAGGATAAGGTTTCACTCTTTTCACAAAAATTACCCCTTTAGCTCTCACCTTTCCCTGAGCTCATTTGCAAAAATTATCTGACTTTCAGTCTTAATTGTATTTGTTTGTAGTGAGTAAGTTTTCTTTAGTTTCAAGCTCTTTCCCATCTGATGAAGGTTTCTGACTAAAAACATTGGTACAGTACATTTAGTGCTTAATGCAGAACTAGAAATGAAAAGATCACCTAATTTCTGATTCACATTTTTATGTATATTTGTTGTAATGTGTTTATACAGTGTTGTTCAAAACAATAGCAGTACAATGTGACTAACCAGAATAATCCAGGTTTTTAGTATATATTTTTTATTGCTACATGGCAAACAAGTTACCAGTAGGTGCAGTAGATTCTCAGAAAGCAAACAAGACCCAGCATTCATGATATGCACGCTCTTAAGGCTGTGCAATTGGGCAATTAGTTGAAAGGGGTTTGTTAAAAAAAAAATAGCAGTGTCTGCCGTTGACTGTACAAACACAAAACTATGTTGTACAAACGTTTTTGTTTCTAGGATTTGGCAATCCTGTGAATCACTAAACTAATATTTAGTTGTATGACCACAGTTTTTTATAACTGCTTCACATCTGTGTGGCATGGAGTCAACCAACTTGTGGCACCTTTCAGCTGTTATTCCACTCCATGATTCTTTAACAACATTCCACAATTCATTTACATTTCTTGGTTTTGCTTCAGAAACAGCATTTTTGATATCACCCCACAAGTTCTCGATTGGATTAAGGTCCGGGGATTGGGCTGGCCACTCCATAACATTAATTTTGTTGGTTTGGAACCAACACTTTGCTCGTTTACTAGTGTGTTTGGGGTCATTGTCTTGTTGAAACAACCATTTCAAGGGCATGTCCTCTTCAGCATAAGGCAACATGACCTCTTCAAGTATTTTGACATATGCAAACTGATCCATGAGCCCTGGTATGCGATAAATAGGCCCAACACCATAGTAGAAGAAACATGCCCATATCATGATGCTTGCACCACCATGCTTCACTGTCTTCACTGTGTACTGTGGCTTGAATTCAGAGTTTGGGGGCCGTCTCACAAACTGTCTGTGTCCCTTGGACCCAAAAAAAACTATTTTACTATCACTAGTACCCAAGATGGTTCTCCTACTATGGTGTTGGGCCTATTTATCGCATACCAGGGATCATGGATCAGTTTGCATATGTCAAAATACTTGAAGAGGTCATGTTGCCTTATGCTGAAGAGGACATGCCCTTGAAATGGTTGTTTCAACAAGACAATGACCCCAAACACACTAGTAAACGAGCAAAGTCTTGGTTCCAAACCAACAAAATTAATGTTATGGAGTGGCCAGCCCAATCCCCGGACCTTAATCCAATCGAGGACTTGTGGGGTGATATCAAAAATGCTGTTTCTGAAGCAAAACCAAGAAATGTAAATGAATTGTGGAATGTTGTTAAAGAATCATGGAGTGTAATAACAGCTGAAAGGTGCCACAAGTTGGTTGACTCCATGCCACACAGATGTGAAGCAGTTATAACAAACTGTGGTCATACAACTAAATATTAGTTTAGTGATTCACAGGATTGCTAAATCCTAGAAACAAAAACGTTTGTACAACATAGTTTTGTGTTTGTACAGTCAATGGCAGACACTGCTATTTTTTTGAACACACCCCTTTCAACTAATTGCCCAATTGCACAGCCTTAAGAGCGTGCATATCATGAATGCTGGGTCTTGTTTGCTTTCTGAGAATCTACTGCACCTACTGGTAACTTGTTTGCCATGTAGCAATAAAAAATATATACTAAAAACCTGGATTATTCTGGTTAGTCACATTGTACTGCTATTATTTTGAACAATACTGTACATATTACATTTTTTTTGCTATATGATTTCAGTATTGGATGGCTGCTGTCATTACACCTCTGAACCTTTTCCCCTGTAAAAGCAGTATGCTGTGCTCTGTGTGTGTGTTAACTGTGAATATCCACGGATTTCCCTCCAGAATGCAGTACTCACCACAGTGATACACACTCAAATAGCTATATCAGATAGGTCTGAGTGAAATCTCTTAGTTATGACCACATCTGGTCACATTTTGAAGATTTAAATTTCAGTGGATGAAGAGCACGTTGGAATGAAATCCTTTAAAACCTTATTTTTTGATTCTTGACTCTACATCTTCCACGCCACACCAGTCTGACACTGTCTTCTTCCCTTGATTATAGGTGCCTTTTCTCTCCCCTCTAGAGGGCAACATCTACTTACGACTGGACAGCGAGAGTCACTCCAATGTGCAGCACCAAGGCTTCCTGGTCAGGACCGTTTATTACTCTCTGGCCACAACAGATATGTCAGTGCTAACAAGACACTTGGTGTCATACTGTGTTAGTGTTCAGGTTCAAAGCAGTTGGGGTGAGAGGATTCTGTCTTGAGTTAAATTTACACTCCACTCCACTGGGAATCTCACATGTACTTGAATGAAAGTTTTCCACAAATAAACAAAGTGGACATTGTCCTTCCTTAATCGTTAGAAAATAGTATTTTGTGGCAAGTATTTGCATTAAATCCCCTTTCTTCTTTTGTGGTTCTGTTCCCAGACCATGTTTGGACTGATCAGTGGATATGGGGTGTGGCATCGCCGGTATTTTGTCCTAGAGGGATGCAGCTTGTCCTTTTGGAACCACCCTAATGATAAAGAAACCAAGGTAGTAACAAACTAACTGATTAGGTCACCTAGCTGCTTTATGTAGATTGAATTTGTTCCTCTGTTTCAACCTACCAGGAGGCAGAGGGCAGCATCTCTCTGTCCAGCTCTCCCAATCAGTGTGTCAGGCCTGTCAAGAGGGACTCGTGTGCTCGACCTTTCACCTTTGAGCTGGTGAGCACAAGCCCACATCAGCAGCAGGACAACAGCCAGGAAGCTTTATCCAAGTGAGTCTGAACAGAAGTGAACTGTGTGGGATGATAGAGTGCACTAAATGCCTTAGAGTTGTGACTTGGACCTTCGAAACAGATGTCAGGGATTTGGTTTTTGAGGTGATCATAGATTCTTTGTGTGAGTCGTAGACCTTTGGTTGACTGGTCTTTCAAGTTGCACATTTTGGCCAGTACAGAACGAACACAACCTCATTTATTGTGCAAACTCGTTTACAGTGAGTGTGAAGCAGGCTGCTCTTCTGTCTGCACCCAGCTAGTGATGATGCCACAGTGGGTGCTTCACATTAGAGTTGAAGGGGAAACCCCTTCTGTGACATCAGTTGGGTTGTGGCTGGAGATTTCTTCAGAAACATGTTGTTCTTGCAGTGCTCTCCCGATTGCAGTCCACAAACTGACGGTCTTTGTTGTTCAGGTGTTGGTTTTCAGCTGATACCAAACAGGAGAGATTGGACTGGATGGAGAAACTCAGTCAAGCTCTTCTGGACTTTCACACATGGAACCAACCATCAGCAACCCAAACGGAAAGTCGTGAGTCAGACATGTCCAGCAGCGGGAACCTAAGGGAGAGTATGCTGTAACTATATATGTACACCAGCATGCCTACTCCCATACTCTACAGTTTGGGATCCACAAGCTGCTTTTATGTGGCAGGTAGATGAGCCAAATCAGGGCTGAGATTCTTCATCTCAAAGCTGCAGGAGACGAGTGTCCTCGTAGTCTCTGTTGATTAACATGTGACCAGGCAAAAATGTTGTCTTGTGTTGATTTATCTTTTGGAGGTGATCTGAGTTTTGTTCCTTTCTTTTAACCTGGGCCTGATCATTACTTTCTGGGGTTTCACTTTTATTTTATTTGGACTTTTTGTTTCTGTGTTAATCAGCTGCTTTAGCCTTTGTTGGCAGGATTATTTGGTCACTTTCATTAGCTAAGGTGAAAGTTCTTGTAGCTTATATATTTGAAATAATTTACACTATAGAGTGTGGTATTTTTGTAATGTTGAAACTGGAAGGATAAATTTGCACTAATGAGTACTGAAGAAATACTATCTTTAACCTTACTAAACTCGTTTGGGATGACGATGGCAGTGAATACTACAAATATAGAAGGAATGTGCTGAATGGGGGATTCTCAGTAACTTGGACGAAGAATTTGCTTCTCTTTGGTGAAACAAGTTGTGGCCAGTCAGTCCATTATTAACGGCAGGTAAAGCAGATTTTTGTTCCACAAAAAAAGAATTTGGCTGTTTCTCTAAAATGTGACGTTTCTCGTTGCCCTTTTTTACTAAAGAGAACCAGTAAAAATCTTTCTGCTCAGTGTCAGTAGGGGGTTTACTTCTCTGCATGTGAAAGTGTTTACTTGTGTTCACATACATATACTCACTGCACATATATAAACCTATATCTTTACATTTGTAAACCCATGTTCTGCATGAATACACAGAGGACTGGTGAACTTCTAACTTCACTACAACACTACAGGGTGATATAGTGATACTGTATCAATCGATGTTGTCCGTTCCGTCATGTCCTGTTCTTCTCCTTGTTTCCGCCTGTCAGACTTTTATGTAATTCATGTTACCTCATTCTGTGTAATTAATGGAAGGTACTTATAAAATAAATGGAATGAAATTTCTAACTCTGCCAGTCTAGGTATTTTTACATCCATGTGCTGAGCTGGCTAATATAGCTAATTCATTGCTACTCATTAAGATCATATACTGTCACATTGGTATTTTCATTTTCTTTCCAGTTGAAAACATGTTGCTGTCATTTTAAATGGGTATCCCAAGGAAAAGGTTTGAAATACTGCACATCCCACTGTTTGTGTACATTTACATTCACATATTGAAGAACTGTTAATGGTTTAGGCGGTGGAACCACAGTTTGCTATACATATGGAGCCTGAGAGAGTTTGGCAGGAAGGCAGCTCAGGTCAGGAATGTCAGACAGGAAGCGGTCTAGAATTAGACTTCCTGTTCGTCCCAGAGCTCCTCTGAGTGGAGGCGATGCTGAGCATTGCAGAGGCCAAGATAATAACCAAGCAGAGGGGAGCACTTCGTTCTGTTCTCTGGAGACTTTCAGCCATGTCGGACTGGCCGACACCAGCTGCTTCAGCATTCTCACCCTTCTGGGTGGTGGTAATGTACCCGGGGTTTTATGCCCTGCAAATGAAAACTTGTAAACATGTGTACCCCCAAATTGGTTCTCCAGGTCTGCTCGAGGAAAACATATAAACATTATGCTAAATGTGGCCATTTGTTTTTTTGGTTCCCCCCCCCCTTGGCTTATTAGACGTTGTCTTATGTACATGTAATATTTTGCTCTGGGTTTAAGTGATGGAGGGACTGAATATGGACAACCAGTCAGAAGGTGCAACCTTAGTGTTGTATGTGTAGGGAAAGAAACACTTGACTGCAGTCAGCCCTGCTGTCAGTGTGACCAGACTAGAGCTCTGCAGGTCAGCGGCCTTGTTCTTGGCAATAGGGTGCCGCCCCGACAGGAATTCATTCTGCATAACATCCTGTCAGTTCCTTACGTGACCCTCCAGGAAATGTTCCCGTAAAAATGTAAGAGGTAATACCGAGGATGGTGGCCTTTGTTAATAACAGACGGTTACACTGATGGCATCGTTTGGCTCATTGTTTCTAATAAGGTGGTAAGAAAGTGTCACTGATATGTTGACAGCTTGTTTCCACTGCCTCCAAGTGGCCAAAAAAGTCTGTTATTTTAGGTTTAAATTGGTTTGATTATTATGTTAAGATGTAGAGAGCAAGTTGTGGGGTCTGAAAAAAGTATTAACTCTGAAAGTCAGTTCAATCACAGTTTAGACCCTTGTACAGATTCTATTTGTTATTCAACGATAACTCACAGGGCACAAATATTGCATGTGGACATTTGCTGGTGCTTTGCTCCCTTCAGATAGTGTTTGTGCTGCTCCAGCTACAGGCCCATGTGACACCTGCCTCGCTGTGTTTTGCTCCAGGAAGCTTGAGGACCAGAGCAGTGGGGTCAAAGGTCTCAGCTGGCCTGCTAGTAAGCTTCTCTCCGTGGCAGCCTGCACAGACTGCCGAGGATCAGAGATGGTCAGCGACGGTCTGTTTTTGTTTCAGTGGAAAAGTTCAACACATTTTGTTTTGGCATTAATGATGGAGCCACAACGTTGACCTACCTGTGTGAAAAGCAGGGTAACGACTTACTGGCTAGTTTTGTGAATTATGACTGACGTCTGGCCTTAATCAGCTGAGACACCTGTAAAGTGCCTCACAATGGAAAAAAATAAGTCGCAGACTCCATTAGTTCTTAGGTGCTTTGTGTTCCCTCCTTTACAGTGGGTTGTAGACTGACTTATGCATTATACATGTGGCTCCTGTGTTTAATCAGCTTCCCTTTGAGTCTAGAGGACTCAGACTCCCAAAAGGTTCTGTAACACCAGGTCAACTTATACACAACCTCCCTCCACCCCTTTGGCCACTATGTGTAAATGTTATTCTCTTATAGTATTTACCATATTGTTAACAGAAACCTGAATGGGGATGTACAGAGTTTCTCAGGGGCACGGGCTCAAATTTTTTAAAAAGGGCCATCTATCAGTACAGAGCTAATTTGAATTTTTGCAGTATTAGTTATTATTATAGATAAAAGTATTGATCATTTTCTCCCTGGTAGGCATTGTAAACAGACCTTTATGATGCATATTGATATTTTATTTCTGTCTTGATCTAGCTATCTGGAGAGATGAATCATAGCTTACAAATTTCCCTTATTATTAATAAGGATAATCACCTTTATTGGCCAAGTATGTCACACACAAGGAATTTGTTTCCGGTACGGAACCGATGGCAGCCATCTGCAGTGCCAGCTCAACCAATGGCTCTAACCATCGGGGGCAACTTGGGGGTTCAGCGTCTTGCTCAAGGACATTTCGACACGTGGACTGCAGGCACCATGATTCGAACCTCCAACCCTTCGGTTGGGAGACGACTGCTCTACCCACTGAACCACAGTCGCCCTGGATGTTTAAAGTACAATTTAAAGTAATTGGTCCAAATATGATGCCAGATCCTTTTTGCACCTTGTCAGTCTTAGATTATCTCACCTGTTTTCCACAGAGAAAATGACTTTTGCTTGCTTTCTTCAGTATCTGCTCCACTTCTGCCATTGCTTTGTTTGGCATCACCTTCGTTCCCCTTTTTCAGTTATGGAAAAAGTAACTAAGTACACTTAAGTATTGCACTTAAGTAAAATTTTGAGCTATTGGTACTTTAGTATTTCCATTTTCTGCTACTTTCAGCTTTACTACATTTCTGATGCAAATATTGTGTTAGTTGGCCATGCAGTTGGTCTTTGTTGGTCAGCCCTATTTGCCCATTAGAAAGCTTAATAAAACCCATTAATGCTGGGAAGCCATGTGTTAAAAGTAGGTGAGGTTTACGGGGGGCAACATAAATCACTCTCGACACCTCATGGTGTCCCCTACCTTTTTTTTAACAGATTAAAATCTTCTGAGACTGCTGAACTAAGCTGTCAAAAGTAGTTACCTGTGGTAACACAGCCTAGACAACCTATCTTAAGTCAAACCATTTTGATTTTAGACTAAATATTACACTGGAAACGTAACATTGTTAATGGATTTCTTACCAACACATCCTCTTTATTCAGTTTGTATTTGGAAATGCACTGTTTCAGTGTACCGTGCTAACACCATGTCCACCTAGGTCAGGTAAGCAGAGCAGTAGTGTTCCGCGAGGCATTCAGGGACTAGTGAGTGTAGGTCACCTGTGCTTTGAAAGCAATAGGAGACAAATATGCAACCACTTCAATACACTAAAGTGTCTGACGGCATGGCTGGGCCAAATGAACAGGTAGATTCTTCGAATGTAGTGTGTTTCCTACTGTTTCTTGCATATTTACATTGACCACAACATTAATTTATATTTAATATTGAGAGAGGCACTTTTGACTATTTTGGGAAAAGGGCTAACCCCCCCCCGCATGCATGGCTGGCCTGCAGCACATCTTCCATATCCTCTCTGTCCCTGCCCCTTTGTCCTCTCCCCACCCTCTAGCTTCCAGCACTCTCCTCCCCCTGCTCCCTCCCTTTCCTGCTGGCCTCTCAGCAGAGGATGTGCTTGAGTGAGAGTGTGTGAGACAAAAGAGCAAAGCTGTCAGTAGAATGGGTTTGTACCCTCTCCCCTCTATCCTCTCGTCTTCTCCTCTGTCTCTTCTGTCCTCCTTCACCCTCCTTTGCCAGCATCTCACCCTGGGCACCCACAGTGTCAGCACTCAAGAAAAAGGAGCCTCGTCCGGTGGACGGGCAGCTGAAAACTGAACTTCAATGTCAGCGGGGGACCAAAGGAATGGAGGTGACAAACCAAGAGGTAGTACCGACACACACACACACACACACACACACACAGTTTGCCTGTTGACAACACTGCTGCATGGCCAACACCCACTGTTTTTGACCTTCTTAATGAGTAGAGATGTGAAAGAGCTGTCCATAGCTGCATGTTGCTTCTGTATGAGAGACATGAATGAACTCTTCAGTGTCCAGGCATTTTGAGTGGTCTGTTGATTTATGGAGCAGCACTGGCCTTTGATACTTTTATAGGGCTCTAGGTCTTGGTCTGAATAGACCTCAAGGTCTATCCACAAGGTCAATTTAGTTTTTATTCTGGAGCTTTCAATCATATCACGATCTTCATTAGCTGATGGTGTTCACCCATTTGTCTTGTACTGTTTCCTCTGCACTTTAAGAATGTGCTGCATATAAAAGACTTTTAATGTCTACAATTCCATGAGAACTGACAAGACTCCATCTTCTGATGGTCACAACGGTGTCTAAATGTACCATGTGGTGAGACTTTCTCAACTGGTGTTTCCAAAGTAGTTCACTACCCTGACAAGGATTTTAAAAAAGGAGTACTTGTATAGTTTCGTTTTGGCTTGCACTTCCATAAAGTCAGTGGACCTTGGAGAACCAGATTATCTAAAGCAACTGAGGCCAAGATTTCTGGACTTTTCAATAATAATCAATCACAATCACCTTTATTTGGCCAAGTATGTTCTAACCATCGGGGGCAACTTGGGGGTTTAGTGTCTTGCCCAAGGACAGTTCAACATGTGGACGGCAGGCACCGTGATTCGAACCTCTAATCTTCCGGTTGGGAGACGATTGCTCTACCCACTGAACCACAGTTGCCCCCAATGTGGTATGGGTGGTCAAGCTCCAAAATCTAAGACACCTTCACTTCTCAATAGCATTTTTTTTTCTGTTCCCAGTGACAGGCGACTTGACTTGTTGTGTACAATTGGTGGAGTGTCCCTTTAATGACATTGCATATTTTCATAAAATAAAGTACAAGTAGGTGTATTTGTTGCATTGCCATGGGGCTGGCAGTAGTTCTGCACCATGTGCTGTCAGAATCTGCTGGTTTCCATACCAGCCCACTGTTGCAGCAGCATTATAGTGCGGTAATCAGTCAGCCACTGCTTTATTGTCCTCGGTGCTGTAACTTTTAACTGTGTTGTTGCAGCATCAGCTAACATGACACTCAACTCTTTTCTGCGTGTGAGCTCCATGGTTTGTTTTGCAGCATTGCTGATGGTGACGTTTCAGATTTAACCTTGGTAGGAGAGAGCAGCTGAGCTCCTCTGAGGCAGAGCCAGCCGTGTTTGTCTGAGACATCCAAAGGTCTACACACACACACATGGAGTCATGGATTACTATACTCATCAACACAATCCGCTGAGCTTTCGCCTCTGACATCACAGAAAGACCCAGCACAGCACATTACTCTGCTGAGTCACTAACCAGTACAATTAAGACCAATTAGGCTGTGTAAATGGAAGCACTGACAGTGACTCTGGTGGCTGTTTGGCTGACTAATAGATGAGAAGTGATATCCTGCTTACCTGACTGGCTGGCTGACAACAGAGCCCCATTCCTCTCTGCTATAAAAAGATCCTCTCCATTAGGGCACAGAGAAATGTTTGACTCAGACAGTATCCCATTCCCTAAACATCAATATTGCTACTGCTTGGCAAAAACGCCTCTTTTTATGGGTCTGGTTGGTAGCTCAGCGAAAGCACAGGAGAGCTAAGAGGACATCTGGGGGCAGTAACACAACCAGAGTGCACCTTTTTGTGCTGGTAAATGATAAAGAGATTAAAAACATTAAGCAGTGCGATACATAATCACTCCTGACAGAAAACCTTCCAGCTGGGAACAAACCTTATCACAGCACCAGATTTTATTTCTCCAAGCATTTCTTCGAGACAGAGCTACTATAGAGAGAAATAATGATGCCAGCCTGTAAGTTAAACCTTATTTGGCAAATAGTCAGACCAGTTCCAGCTTTTCTGTCTTCAGGAAGATTGTGTTCCAGTGGCAAATGCAGTTACACAGTTTGGGACTTTAAAAGCCATTTTGTTTTAAAAGTACTCATCTTCTTTATCCAGTTTTGATTAAGAAGACAGTTTAGGTGAGTAAGCCCCCAGATCTGACACTTCTTGTGATTAATTTAGTTACTACATGAAGCCTTATACTATAGTCACATCTAAATCACAGGTAGGTCCTTCAGCATCTTGGGGAACCAGCCACGGTTCTTCAGTGGATTCAGCCTGTTCTTGTGGCTTCTGTCTGTTCATGTGATCCCAGACTGACTCCATGATGTTGAGATCAGGGCTCTGTAGGGGTCAGACCATCATTTGCAGGTTTGCTGGTTCTCCTTGTCTTTGAAGATGGTTCCTTGGGACCCTGGCTGTGTGTTTGGGCTCATTGAACTTGGGGCTCATCAAATGCCTCCCTAACGGATCCAGATCTAAAGCTGAAGTACAGCAGAGTATTGTATGTAATTTGTCATGTAAAATAGTGCTCTGCTCTTTTTCAGACATGACACTTTTATTTCTTTTAAGTATATTGTTATACCCCAAGTGTGATTTGTGTATACTAGTGTGATGGGCTCACTAGCTGAGTCTTAGAAATCCTAAATAGTCGCCGATGACTAAACCCACACTGTTGCATATGTTGGTTGTGCTGGGTCTAATTAAATGAACCCTAGTAATAGTTGGATGGGGTTACATTTATAAACTAGTTTTTTTGCCATTTTTCTGACAGACGGCATCAGTGGTTGAGGTGTGGCCAGAGGTGGAGAGGGCCGAGTGTTTGGCCCGCGGTGCTGCTTTGAAGTGGGCGTCCGGTGTTTTCTGTCGGCCTGAACATCTGGAGCGGCTGAGCCAGTACAGGAAGAGAGAAAGTCAGAGGACTGCCTCCGTACACACCAGACTCAAGGTGACAACACAAATGATGCAACATCGGTCTACTTAATGATATCACAAATGCAGCCTTGCACTTCAAAATAAATTACTGCTACTCACCTTTGTTGTGAATCAATACATGTTTATTTCTGTTTTTGATATTTCTGACTATCAACCACTCCTTTCAGTCCATGGTGCAGTCGTACCTGGAGGGGGTTGGCTGGGGCCTGGAGCAGCTCCGGGAGGCCAGGAGTGAGTTGACGGAAGTGTCGCACACTTTGAAGAAAGCTGCACTTGAATCCAGTCGAAACGTGGAGGGGGTGATGTCTCTGGAGAGGCTGAGAGAAGTGTCAGTCAACCACCATCAGCTCCTCGCTGCTGTCAGCAACCTGCCACGATTGTACTCTGGTGAGAAGCTGCTTTGTGTACACACAGGTCTGATGGTCTCTGTTTCTTGAAGAGTCATTTTCTATATTAATATTTTAGATAGACTAAAACGAACAATTAACTGCCTCTATTCAATATCTGTCCTTCTCCCAACTGGATTATTTTATTCATCTCTGCCTTAGCCCCCCCGAGTTGTTCACAAACTATTAAAAACTCCTCAGTGAAACACACCACTGCACTTAGTGACGTTTCCTCACTGCAAAACACCAGAGCCCGGTATTTGTGAGGAATATCCAGAGATCTCGTGCACGAGCCCTTGATTCTTGCTCATTTCAGACACTAGAAATTGATGGTTGTTTGAGGCCTTTGGAGCAACATTTAAAAGAAATCAGGGCCTTGTGATTCCTAATGAGGAAACGTGTTTCGCTGCTGAGTTTTTAATTGTTTTTGAACAGTGGGGGTCTCTGGCAGAGAAGACTAAGGTAACCCAGGCTGGAGACTGACTGGCACAGACAGTGAGTAGAGGTAATTCGTTGTTAGGGTTGGTGTCTGTCGGGGCAGTGTCTAAAATACTGTTACTATGGAAATTGCCCGACCTTATCCTTTATTTTAGGTTATTGAACTTAGATTCACAGAACGTTTTTTACATTATATCAGGTTCAGTATATTTATTGTATATAAATGTAACTATTTCATTTCTTTTTTTGGAATATAATTCATATTTGTCTAGTGATGGTCTAATCAGATGCTAACAGTTCAACTTCCATTTGCTATAGCAGCATTTGCATTAATCTTACTATACCGTATCAATATCATGCAGTCCAGTACATCAACCCTGCAGTAAATGCTACTTTTACTGAACTTATAATATAAATTTATATCATATCAGAAAAACATTGATTCAAGTAATGAGAATTTGCTGTAGTAGGTGATACAAAATGTATGGCTTTGTCTGGCGATATACAGGTTGTGCGGTCTCCATATAGCAGCGACTTCATACTTCTCATCAGTAAGACAGCCTAACGGAGCGTAAGTCGATATACCTGGTTGTTCTTTACATCATTAAACCAGGGCTAGAAAAGGGGAGAAAGAGGAATAAAGTACCCCACAGCTAGTCACACATTGTTGTCATTGAATTTTTAATTGTATCGTGACTGAATCAAATTCTACACATTATATCGTGCATCGAATTGTATTGAGGAAAAAAGTGCATCGTTTCATTCCCTGCATCCTGTCTTTAGAAATATCTTTATCTATTGTATGATATCAGACACCCTGTTTCAAACCAAGAAATGTCCATCTCTGTACTAACAAGCGTTTGAACATTTTTTTTCCTCAGAATGACTGAGCAGATGCTCTTAACAGCTTTGGTTCTTAGTCAGGTTTAAGAAAGGGACAGTCTGTCTTTAAATGTGTTTACATTTGTTGTACAGTTGAAACACCGTTTTTATTTTTTTTCTTTTACCCACCTATCCTGTATCTGTGTAGACCAGAAATGCTTTCACAACTGTACAAAACTGAAAAACTAAAATGGGTAACCTCACTCTCTCACTTTTGAGTGACGGCGAGCAGTTGTTGTACGGACAGTGACAGTGTATGAAATAACGTTCTCCCTCCCTCCCTTCTTTTTGCCCTCTGTAGTGCGGAGCATGGTGTTGGAGACAGAGCGACTGGTGGAGTCCCGGCGGCTCCTGGAGGCCCATGCTCGGCTGATGGATCTGGAGCGCTGGCAGGACGACATCCTCTGGCAGCTGCATGGGGCTGCCGCGGCCTCGGGAAGTGCGCTGAGCACTGAAGACCAGGAACTGGTGGCCAAATATTTCTCTGGTGTAGGGCATCTGGTTGACACCCTTGGTAGGGACATCTTCACACACTTACTCAGTAATATCAGTTTAATTCAGCTCAGTAAAAGCAAAACATGCCCCAATGTAAATGGCAGCAGTATGTGGTGTATATTGTAGTTTGGTGCCTCATATTTCTGTTTGGTTCATTTGGTATTAGAGTGCAGGAATGGACTGCCATATATACAGTAAAACATACCGTATCAGTGGATATATAAAAATATATTATTTCAGGAACACCTTGAGGGAATTTGTTCAAGTTTGGCACAAACATCCACTTGGATTCAAGGACAGTGTGACAAAACTCTTCATCGGTCCTATGTACCCCAAATTATCCCTAAGTGAAGACATCATATTTCTCACTGAAAATTATTCTCTAGAATCATACAGGTTAATATATATGTGGTGATAACTTTCATTTTGCCAAGAAAATAAATTTAATTTTAATTTAAAAAATGCAATGTCTTTTAATAATTTCCTTCAAAGTGTTCACTACATATATACTATAGCTATACGAGTCTGGACAGACATGCATGTAAACTGCAACTTGACTGGTCGGAGGAAGCAAACGACTACAAAGCGGTTTTTCTAGTTTGCTAATAATTCATCCCAGTGGTAGCAGGCAGCTGTATGGGCCAAGAAAACCAAAACTATTGGATCAGTTTCAGGATAAATGTTCCTGTGGTAACATCCACCCTGTCACTGCAGGGAAGGAGCTGTGGGTGGTAGTGAGCAGCGCTCTGGCTCTGGCCCGACAAAACCCCACACCATTTGTATCGGCGGTGAGGATAGTGGAACGAGAGGAAGCCCTGGACCGAGCTCTGCTGGAGGAGAGAGGGCACGCCGGAGGCAGCAACAGGCCCCTGCCCCCTGCACGGCCTCGCTGCTGGAGAGCATGCTTCTTCCAGGTCAGCACCAGCTGGCATAAACAAAACACTCCACTTTCTACTACACTTCCCCCTTTTGACTTCATGATTGGATGTTAGTCTTGTCTTCTCTCACGTCCTCCCTCCCAGGTACTAGAGGAGGCGGTCTTCGCACGTATTCGTAGCATTTCCTACCTGCACACGCGGGGTCCCGGGCTGGCAGGCCACCTCTCTGCGCTCCAGCATGGCATCGTGGCTGACCTGGCCACTGTACGCCACCTGCTGGAGCACTGCGTCCCACCACACTACCGGCTAACAGGAGCCTACCTGAGGGCTAGCCATCACTGTTTACATGCTCACCTGACACAGGTCAGTGTTGGGAAGGAAAGAAGGCACCGCTACGCCACTGTTGGCTTTATGGTGTAGAATAAAGAGTGACGAGGACTGTTGTTAATTTTTCTCATTGTTTTCTGAGATGCATTATCATGGATTACATATAATAAGACTTGGATATAGTCCTTTAAATGGACAAAGTCAGTTCTATGTATTTTTTTATTTTGTGGTAACAGCCTCGCTGTACACATGTGGCCTAGGTTAGCAGCTGGGACCTGGAGAGCGGTGAAATCTTTGCTGTGCTAAATTGGGTGCTACACATCTACAGCAGGTGAGCTCGACAGCCTGCACAGTCTGTACTTTGCTGTTCGTCTTTCTGTCAGCGTGGGCCTTAAAACAGACTAAAGGTGAGGTGAGAGTTTGAGGTCTTTGAACAAATCTAAGCAAATGAACAGGGGTTATGCGGAACGTCACGTGACCAAACCGGAAAACGGATCAGCGCACTTCCGCAGAACGCGGGTGACACAACAGTAGTAACGCGAAACACGTTCTTTGAGCTCGTTTTATTTGATTAGTTCGTAGATAAAAAAAAAACAAAAATTTCTTTTTCAAGACACAAATACCAGAAGCGGGATCATCCAAACAGTGATTTCTGCTGCGTACCTCAATACGCGATGTCAGGGAAGTTTTCAGTACTAGTCTGCTAATTTTTTTTAAGCCACCAGATGTTGATATACTTGCTGGCTGTCTGTTTGAACCCTCAAAGCTTTACAAGGCAAGCCATCCCTCAACTCATCCTTATTTTTTTTTTAAAGTAGCCAAACGACATAAATGAACGTGGCATGCATTTACTAAGCATGTCATAATATGACTGCTCTAGAACATTGTGACTGGATAGTCAAAGGAGCATGTTCAAGATCATATTCATATTGTTCCTTAACTGGAACACAGTGGGGACAAACAGAACAGCCAACCATTCACCAACATTACTTTCAGGCTATGGGGCTTCTCGTTTTTCTTCATAGACCTGTGACATGATCCTCTGATGCTGACAGCACCTGTCGCTGTGTCTTTATTTGATACTGTTGAAAAATATATTAGGTTATCAATGTAACAGCACAGGTCTGTCGCTAGCCATAATAAATTTAGCATTTCCATCACACAGGCTTAGTTACTATTAGCTTTCCGGTAGTGTATTACATTATTTTTGTGTACCAGACAGATGCTCGGTGTAAATATGATAACATTAGCTAGTTAGCTTATGAACTAGCTTAGCTAGATCTCCGTTTGTAAGATAACCGATACATAACTCTACCTTCGTAGTCGTTGATGTATGAAGAAGCACATAGCTTAAACCCCTTATCCAGCTTTCTGCCCGGTGTTTTAGACATCGAGCTGCATATTCGGTGGACATCCGTGATCTTCATCTTTGGTAGTTCTTGGAGACATCTTTAGTAGAACAGTGCCATATTTCATACTAGTCGCAAACCGGAAACGGATGTTTCTGTTTTGCAGTATACGGAAGTAAGTTGCGCATAACCCCTACTACTGATTTGTGAGTGTGCATTTCTTTAAAGACCGATCTTCACTGTATCAAACAGTTTATGAACCGTGGCTCAGCAGGATGAGGCTCATCCTGCACATTTCAACTTAGTCAGCTGATTACCTTTGATGCAGCCTGGTTGTCTCTTTCCATATTTCCTTTCACTTAATTAGCATCTAATGAAGCAGAAACGCTGCAAGACAAATGTATACAATGTATGTTATCACATCATCAGTTGTAAAAATCGAATTCCCCTGTTTAACAAGATCTTTACTGTGTTCTGCATATTTTTACCTTTTCAAGCCATCTAAACGATTACAATGCTTGTGCAGCTAACAAATGCAGCCTTTTGTAAAGTGTTGCCTTGTTCTACCCAAGTACAAAGTTCGTTAGTGTGTCATTACAATGATTTGCTTCAGAGCTTGTTTTGGAGGTCAGTCGACCTGCTGGACATTGTTAACCGTCAGAAGTCTTTCTTTGGCAGCCCAGACATGATGGGTTGTCCAGAGCTGATGGAGGAGATGGAGAAGGAAGAGCTGGGACCTCTCATCTCCACTGAGGGACTGGAGCAGCTGCAGAACAAATATGTGCAGAGTGTTCGGGTCAGTTGATTATTAAGAGTTGACAAATTGAAACTGTATCCTAGTGAAGAGATGCTTCTGAAAACAGGATCCCTACATACTGTGGGTCAGTGCTTTGGCCTTAGTAGGTACAGTAGCTTTGGAAGTAAAAGACACTCTACAGTCTGGATATGTATACTGTGGGGCTACCCATTTTGTACTCATCATATTTCATATTGCAACTTTTTGTTGAGAAATGTGTGCCTTTGCAAAGGGACGTGCTGACTCTGGAGTGTAAGTAAGCCTCTGAACAGTGCTGCGACATGTAGAGGAGCATGATGGTGTCTCTGCTGTTATACTGGGTCCATGTTGTTGCTGTTGTAGAAGAGTGTGTCCGAGTGGATGCGTAAAGCTCTACAGGTGGAGCTGCAGGACTGGCAACGGGACCAGGAGCCGGATACAGACCATGAAGGTTTCTACCAAACCAGCCTGCCTACTATCATCACACAGGTAAGCATGCTACACAATACACAGGATACAGCCACATACAGTACATACACGCAGGGTGCCTGCAGGCACTAACAGGCTTTTTCAGTGGCTTTATAATACATCTGAACCTCATCGACTTCACTTGTGAGTATTGGCCAAAAAAGTGAAACTGTACATACAAGCTGACAATAAAAGAGATGAAGAGTGAGATTCATCGAATCTCACTCTTCATCTAATCACAGCTACAGCCTTCATCTATGGTGGCCGACACGGTCACAACACATGCAAAAGACACAACACATGCAAGACACAAACGCGGTATTGAACAAAACACATGCAAACGGAAAA